GGGCTCCTCAGTAAGGAACAGCATGTTCTTTGTGAATGGAGTTGAAGAGAATGACCTCTCCATCTCAACAGAGGCACAGAATTCAGTGGGTTGAGGTAAGATGCATGTAGAGGTATGTGTGGAAAATAACCTCAGTAAAGTGAAAACTAGGGACACAGTGTGACAGTCTCATAATAAACTAAATAAGATGGAACGCCGTAAGCCTTTGAAACCCTGCAGGAGATTTATGGTTTAAACCGGGAAAGAATGAAAAGCTCAAATGCCCACAGAAGCCAGATAGGTAATGCGAGCAGTAGGAATGCAACAGCAGCTGGGAGTGGGATACGCCTGCTCCCACAAATGAACTGTCTCCCCTAACCCTTAGTTCATTGCTGCTTAGAGGAATGCATTCTCAACAATCCCAGACCTATTTGTCTTTTTTCTCTTTCCTACCAGAACCCAGAGATCTAGATTTTACTATGAAATCCCTGATATTTTAAATATCAGCAAATAATAAAATTTCTTGAAAGAAAATCTATAAATCAGGCAAAACAGTGGGGCAGCTGGATTCAGATTCTTCCTGCAGGCAATTATCTTTCTCCATCTTTGTAGACAACTAACTCAAATCCAAAATCATAACTCCTTTGTAAAATCTGACTTAATGAGTATTCAATTTACAATGATAAATACTGTGTACATATACATAATCCTATATAACTCGGTCACGATCACGGTCCTCCCGTTGTTCATAGATTTGCTCTAGTGGACCCAGTAATGTAGGAGTTGCTTTTTTGTTTATGCTTTTGGCCTATACTCAGGGATGCTCTAGGTCTAGTCCTGGCTTTTACACTCACTGACTGTGGTTGGAGGCCCATATGGGATGCCAGGGATCAAACCCTGGCCAGACCCATGCAAGGCAAGCACCTTACCTACTACTTTACCTACTATCTTTCAGGTCCAATGGTGTCTTTTTTTTTTGTAAAGTCTTTGTGAAACCTTCAACTATGGGAGAGCATAAAATATATTTATATACAAGAAACTAAAACTCGGGGCTATAGTGATAGTACAGTGAATCTTCAAGGCATTTATCTTACTGTGGCCGATCCAAGTTCGATTCCCAGTATCCCATATGATCCCCCGAGCATTTCCAGGAATAATTTCCTGAGTGCAGGGCTAGGAGTAACCCCTGTGCATTACATGGTGTGACCCAAAAAGAAAAAAAGAAAAAAGAAACTGAAATTCCATCTGTAGCGGCTAGGAAGAGAGATCTTCAGGAACTTGGTTGAGGTGAGTTAAATTCTATTTGATGGACACATATTCACTGAGGAGGTCAGAGGGTAACAAAACATGACTGAAGATGAATACAAGGTGAAGACAAATTTGGCCTCTTTGCTGCTGTTGACCAGTCCCATAAATCCTGAATACTCACTCCCTCCCAGCCATTCATGAGAAATAGTCTCTTGAAATAGGTTTCTGAGATGTTCTCAGGTCAGTCGTGGCTGAGAAGTCACTTCTGGGGGAGCAGAGGAAAGAATGTATAACTTTGAGGTTCTTTTCATGGATTCACAAAACATGCAGTTGTATCTCATCTCTGTCTCCTCTGCACCCCGTTCGCAGCTCAGCTGAGCCCTCATAAAAGGTAAAGGTAAAGGCCCTCCCGTTGATCATCGATTTGCTCGAGCGGGCCCAGTAACGTCTCCATTGGAGACTTTGTTGTTACTGTGTTTGGCATATCGAATACGTCACAGGGAGCTTGCCAGGCCCTGCTGTGCGGGCGAGATACTCTTGGTAGCTTGCCAGGCTCCCGGAGAGGGGCGGAGGAATCGAACTCGGGTCGGCCATGTTGGCTGCGTGCAAGGCAACCACCCTACCACTGTGCTATCGCTCCAGCCACTACTTATTAGTGACTAATAAGTAGGCAGGGTCCCTGCCCACCCAGGGCTCAATCTTTAGGGGGATGCACCATTGAACCCTCACTTCCTCCAACTCTAATGGATGTGCTAGTGTGCTGGGGGATGCACCCTTGAATCCCCACTTCTGCCAGCTCAGAAGGACATGCTGGGGAATGGGAGGGCTGGGTAAGTGGGAAGTGTGTGAAGGTAAGTATTTTCTACCAGGTGGCCATCAGGGCAGCTGGGAAAAAGCAACTCGTGCATGGAGCAGGAGTGCTGAGCGGGCTCTCTGGGCAGAGTTCTGGGCAGAGTTGCCCTTAGGTGTGGCTTCTTCAAAGAGATACCCAGACAGAGGCCATGAGGGCCAGAGGGTGATGAGGGTGACTGAGAGGGAGGAAGGGGACAGACATACACTTCCATGTCTTGGACTTTTAGTCTCAGATGGAAAAACATCAAGGGTATTGGCCTGAAAAGCTTTAACTCAGGTGAAGATTTTACTCAGGGCTTTCAAGAATGAGGATCCTGCAGTGCAAAGGTGATGATGGATGACAGCCAGGTGAAAGGTCTGGTAGCCACTGTCATTATCTAGGGAAGAGAAATAGCAGCTTGACCCAAGGTAGCTGAGGGAGGTAGTGAGAAGTGATGTGTGTTTTAAACATTCTGACAAGATTTGCTGAAGGAAGGGAATGTGGGGTGTAAGATAGGCACCAAGGATGGTTCCAGGACTTCACGCCAAGTGCGCTTTTAGTTAGGGGGGGTAGGGGAGCAGCTGGCTGGGGAAGAGAGAATGGCAGGCAGCAGGAATTAGCCTCCAAGTCTTCCAAATGGAAATTTTGGGGTTTTTTTTGTTTTTTTTTTCTTTTTGGGTCACACCAGCAATTCTCAGGGGTTTCTCCTGGCTCTGCATTTAGGGATTACTCCTGGAGGTGCTCGGGAGACCATATGGGATGCTGGGAATCGAACCTGGGTTGGCCGCATGCAAGGCAAATGCCCTACCCGCTGTACTACCGCTCCAGCCACACCAAATGGATTTGTTGATCAGGCAATTGAGGTGAGGAAGGGTGAAACGCTAGAATGTGATAAGGAGAATCTGCTAAACTTTTAAAAATGGGAGGTGAGGGAGAATGAAATGACTCTTGAAAAAGTTTCAAAGCAACTTAATTTATATTATCACTATTTTCCATTGATTTATTTATCTATTTATTGTCAAAACAAGAATTGAACCCAAGTTCTCCATATCCATTGGCATGAGTTCTACTACTAAGCCACAGTCACGGCTTCAAGTGGCTTTTGTTTCTGTTTAAGTGTATGTGTGCGTGTGTGTGTGTGTGTATGTGTATGTGTGTCTGTGTGTGAGAGTGTCTGGTGTCAGGGTCTCACTCATGCAAAGTGAGGGCTGTATTGCTGATTCACATTCCTGACCACACATCCTCAATGTTTTATATCACAAAGATCTGTGGTGGCTGTAAAAAAATACGTGGCAAAGTTCAATTATAAGAAGTAGCTTAAGCTCCATTCATGTTTTTATCTCCTGCAGCGATAGCACAGCGGGTAGGGCGTTCGCCTTACAAGCGGCCAACATGGCCGACCCGAGTTCAATTCCTCCGCCCCTCTCGGAGAGCCCGGCAAGCTACCGAGAGTATTCGATATGCCAGACACAGTAACAACAAAATCTCCAATGGAGACGTTACTGGGCCCGCTTGAGCAAATCGACGATCAACGGGAGGGCCTTTACCTTACCACTATCACGGGCAGCTTCACAAGACATGCAAATTATTGGGCTCCACCCAACCTAGAAATCATAAACATGGACCAAAGGGCTCAAGAAATGATTGACAAGTTCTCAGGAAGATTGTTCTGCACATGTAAAAAAAAGTAATTATTGTTATATTTCTCCCTCCTCCCCCTTGGTGTTCCCAGGGGTGCAGATATGCCTGTCTGTGCTGCTCACACTTTAGTGGTGGTGTTGGCTGTGGGTTGCACATCAGGCTATGGTGTTCACATGCTCAGCCGCAACACTCATCAGCTTGCACTCCTTTAGTTATGGTACTTACTGGGGCTCACACAAGTTATGGTTGCAGGGCTCACCAGGAGTTGTTAAAGTACTCATACATGTGCTGCTGGAATCTGCACTTCCTGGGGTCATACTCACACTTATTAGGGGTCATACTCCTTTCTGCGGTGCTTACACATACCTGACTGTGGTGCTGCTAAGAAATATCCTGAAGCACAGGGGAGCACAGATAGCAGAGCTACCAGGATTGAACTCAGGGCATGAGGCACAACAGGGATTTAAACTCATGCCCACATCTTTGCAAGATACTCTGAGCCAGGGATTATTTCAGGTCCATGAAATTATTTGCTTCGGCCCTGGTACATGATGGGACAGATACTATACTTCTTCACGACTTGGTCACTATCTAGTGTATGTAACTATTGTATGGCTTATGATTAATGTTATAAATATCCAAGTGGCCCCTGGCAAACAAAAGTTTCACTGTCCTGCTTATGCTTTTGCTGCAGGCCCAAGATCACTATACAAGTTCATACTGAATGAGCAAGATAAGAAGTTTAGTATGGGAAAGAGTACAGCAGGTAGGATGCTTGCCTTGCACGAAGCTGACTTCCTTTCAATCCCAGATGTTGCATATGGTCCCCAAGCCCTAGAAGGAGAGATTCCAAAGCTCTGTCAAGGAGTGATTCCTAAGCACAGAGTGAGGAGGAAGCCCTGAGCATAGCAGACATGATCTAAATCACTCCCCACCCCACCCTTAACAATTTTAGTACAACAAAATTTTTTTTCTTTTGGTTTTTGGGTCACACCCGGCGATGCTCAGGGGTTACTCCTGGCTCATGCACTCAGGAATTGCTCCTGGCGGTGCTCAGGGGACCATATGGGGTGCTGGGAATCGAACCTGTGTCAGCCATGTTGGCTGCATGCAAGGCAAACGCCCTACCCGCTGTGCTATCGCTCCAGCCCCAGTACAACAAAATTTTAAACATTTAAAAAGGAGACACTTTTTTTGAAAAATGGCAAAATATCTTTATTGCTTGAAGCATATAAAATAGTAAACAAAAATCAGTATGACATTTTATTTCTTATTGTTCTTAATTGTTATAAAAATACAATGTGATTGAGTCTTTATAAACTCTTGAAAATGATCAAAAGCTGATTTTTAAAAGGCACTAAGATACACAATGAGTTGATTAAGAAAAAATCCACCACATAGATACAATAAAAATTCCTTGGAGAAAAATTCTAAATATAGACCCCCTACCAAAATTAGGACTGTTTTCCATCTTTTTTAAAACACAAAGAGAATTTCCCCAGTGTTACCTATAGATATCATAACTTCATAAATGAAACCGCCTTCTTTGCTCTTTTGACATAGGTAAACAGAGAAGCTAGCTAAAATTTATATTCTTTGATTTAATCTCAGATTTATGAGAAAACAAAACTCTCAGTTTGTAGCCAAGACCTGTGAGAATCCTGGGTTAACTTTCATTTCATATTTGTGTTTCAAATCACAATACATTAAAAATAATAGTAAGGTGTTCATGGGAATGTGTTTTTTTAAAGGTACTTTTTGTTCAGTTGTTACAATCACTCTAAGCACCATTTATAAAACACATGATTACATATATATATACACATATATATATGTTTAATTATCACTGTTGTATCATCTGGCAAATGCTGAACATACTGACTGAAATCACACTAACATAATCTTTATGAACTGGAATTCACAGGTTCAGATCCATCTCATATCTTTCAGTGCATTCATCTATTAAAGATTCATATTTTAAACTATTTCATTTCAGATTGGTCAAAGGATAATCAATGAGCACCATGATTAAATTAAAAAAATAAACACTGTCCTATGACATATATGTACTGCCAGTTAAAACAAGTGCATGCTTACTATCATTTGGGACTTTTATAAGATAACTTTTATAAGATAACCTCTTCAAGGCAATGATAAGCAAGAATATTTTTTCTGAACTATGAGTCAGATCATTAACTCATTCGCTGCCTCTCAAACATGAATTGCCTTAAGGAATTGCCTGAACATTGTCAATCTGAGATCATTCAACAATGCAGTTCACAGATTTGATTACTTTCCTGGAAGGACTTGGATTATAACTGAAAACTGACATTTAAATAACATGGGGGAAAATACAGAGTCACTTGAATGCTTATCACTTTATTACTACAATTATAAAAGGTATTTGAATCAGCCCCTGACATTGATTTTTGCTGTAATTAGTGCTTAATTTTTGCCCTTTTCACCTTTTGTTCTGCTGCTCACCCTTTTAAGAAATGTCATGATAATGGGAGCATGACTGCTGCACGAAGCATCGTGGACTGCCTTCCTGGGGAATTGTACATGTGTTCATTTATCATGTCTCTGCTCATACTTTCCATTCAACTTTTTTGCTGTATCACACTGAAAAGCTTGTGCTGATTCTCGAGGCAGTCTTTCAACTTATCCTCTGTCAAAGTCAGTCGCTGCTCCAAGATTGAGACCGTCTGCAAAGAGGACAGGACAGTCAATACCTGGTGAGCTCAGAGAAAGACCACAGGGACAGTCTTGCACCGGAGCGCCATTTCTGGAATTGAAACGCCAGCCCCTTTGCCAGGAAGTTGACTCAAAAGTGAAGTGTAAGATCTTGCATTGCTTCTGACTCCTCCTCAGGATACAGCAAAATAGATTGAGAAAAGGGGAAAAACCAACCAACTGGGAAGCATTTGAAGAAAGTACAAAGACCAAGGCTCTGTAGATATTCTGCATGCTTGCTCTTCCAAAGCCACCCCGTCAGAGAAAAGCCCACTTGAGAGGTTCTAGGTGGTGTCACTAGTACAGGGGAGTGTGTGGAGTGGGGAGTGGAGGTCACATGTCTAGCTAGGTGCTACGGCAGTGAGTGTAGTGACTGGTCTGACACAATCATTCGCAATGGACCATTCCTCTACTACCCCTGACACTGAAATGCTGAGTTCACATTGAAATCTTAATTTCTGGGGATAATAGCACTACACAGGGTTGTTAGGAGATAAATAATAAAATAATGCAAGTGAAGTGCACTAGGTTGGTACATGGGATGTGATGAATATTAGCTATTCTTACTCCTCTGGCTAACACATGAGTTTATGACTACACATACAGAATTTAGGAAATAGAATTTTTTTGTGATATCCAATACTTCGGGCTGGAGCGATAGCACAGCGGGTATGGCATTTGCCTTGCAAGCGGCCAACATGGCCGACCCGAGTTCGATTCCTCTGCCCCTCTTGGAGAGCCCGGCAAGATACCGAAAGTATCTCGCCCGCATGTCAAAGCCTGACAAACTATCCATGACGTATTCAATATGCCAAACACAGTAACAACAAAGTCTCATGATGGAGATGTTACTGGGCCCGCTCGAGAAAATCGATGAACAATGGGAGGACAGTGGACAGTGATCCAATACTTCATCTTTATTCTTTCATATGGAGATTTTTTTTGTATGAAAAGATAAGGATTCAGGAAGCTACACTTGTCACTTTATGAGCTCCCATAATAAAAACCAAATCAAACCAAAAAAAAGAACCCAAAATTAAAAAAACAAAACTAAACAAAAAACTGCCTTTATAACCAGCACTCAGCTCAAGATTGGATCTCCAGACGGACACTCCAAGCACCATCCATCCAATCACCACCCCTGCACACCCACATAACAGCTACATCCTGACCCACCTTCCCTTCCTCCCTCCCTCCCTTCCACCCACCTTCCCTTCCTCCCTCCCTCCCTTCCACCGTCCCTCCCATTCTTCCTTCCTAAACCAAATTTTCTTTGAGATCCTCCCTCCCTCTCTCCCTCCCTCCCTCTCTCCTCCTCCCTCCCTCCCTTCCTTCCTTCGCTCCTTCCTTCCTCCCTTCCTCCCTTCTGCCCTCCCTCTCTCCCTCCTTCCCTCCCTCCCTCATCCCTTCCTTTGTCCCTCTCTCCTCCTTCCCTCCCTCTCCCACCCCCACCCCTGGTGTTGCTCAGAGGTTATCCTTGGCTCTGTGCTCAGGGATTACTCCTGGTGGGGCTCAAAGGAACAGATGGGATGCCTGGATCAAACCCAGGTTGGTTGGGGTCAAGGCAAGCACCCTACCACTGTGCTCTCTCCAGCCCCAGTTATCACATTCTGACATCTCTATAATTTTGTCAGGAGCAGGCCCCTAGAGAGTGTCTAGAAACGTTGGTTGATTGGTTGGTTTCATTTAGAAACGTTGGTATTTATTATATCACTGAAAGCCACTCAATCTCTAGGCTCCCTTTCTTTTCTTTGTAATTTCTCTGCTGACCTACTCAAGCCATGTCCCCTGCAGAGTGTCGAGCAGTGTGGACCTTAGAAAGGATGCTCTCCGTCCATTGTCAATAAGGTGTGGCTAGATTCCTTGGTAGGACAAGGTGGTGATCTTGCCTTTCGAGGACATTAGAGGACACTCAGTACTTCTCTCTTTTCATGACAGTATCACCTATTCAATGCCTAGATATAGACACATGGTGATAGTCTAATCTCATCATTTAAAACTACTCCGGGGGGGGGGGTGCTGGAGCAATAGCACAGCAGGTAGGGCATTTGCCTTGCACACGGGCCGACAAGGGTTCGGTTCCCAGCATCCCATATGGTCTCCCGAGCACTGCGAGGAGTGATTCCTGAGTGCAGAGCCAGGAGTAACCACTGTGCATCTCTGGGTGTGACCCAAAAAGCAAAATACATAAATAAAATAAATAAAAAATAAAACAACTTAGGGCCAGAGAGACAACTTAAAGTGCTGGATCACACCCTGCATGCAGGAGGCTGGGTTCAGTTCCTGGTACCTCATGGTCCTCTGATCACAGCTGGGAGTAGTAGTTCCTAAGAACTGCCCGGTGTGACCCCAAGACATACACGTTACATGCAAAAACATTCGTATTTTAGAAGGCCAGAGAGAGCTCAGTAGGCTGTGCATGTGCTCTGCCTGCAGGTGGTTTTGAATTTTAGCCCTGGTGTTGTCTAAGTGCTGTGAGCACTGCAAGTGACCCCTTGCAAGTACAGAGCCAGTAGTAATTCCTGAGCACTGCCAAGCAGGGCTCAAAACCCAAACACGTTTAAAAATAAGTGGCTGGCATAATTCATAAACAAGGATCCTACTGTCATTCACTGTTCAGTTAGACAATGGTAGAGTTCATGAAGGAAAAATCAGAATAAATGTTTATTTGACTTAAGTTTCAAGATAATGAATTGGTATCCTATCATCCTCTGAAGCTAACCATTTAACAAATGTTAGTTTTAGCTCTCTAATCATAGCTATTATATGTGTGCATATAGATGACATATAATGACAAATTAAAAATAATAGTAATGTTAATAATATTTTTTACTATCTCCTGAGGACCCACTATGAGCTATGCATTATAACAGATACTTAGATATCATAATTATACACACTACAGTTCTGGATATACATTATCAACACCTCCAACACTGGTAGATTCCATTTATCTATCATCTAAGACATAATTAGTTTTTAATTTATTTGTAATGATAGCTCAGTACAGATGGTTATAAACACTGCTCTGAGTTAGGGATGTTTAGTCATCTGTAATTAAACTGAGTTCCAACATGCTTATTTCGCTTGCTCTAGCCCACAGATTCCCTGCTCTCATTTTCAATTATGTTGTGTCTGTTCTAACCTTGGTATATCAGTGTAAAATTAAGTCAGCCCTTCAAAATTAAAAAAAAATCATAGAAATGCTCAGTAGAGCTTAAGTGATTTATTTATTAACCTTAAGTCTGGTAAAAAGGAAGAGAGAGAATGGCCATGACATGAAAAGAATTGAGAATAGAAATATTTGCTTGGGTGAGGACCTAGCATATATGTAAGCGTGGATAAAGAAGTTGCAGTAAATTGAAAAATAAGAAAACCGTACTTTGAATCAGAAGGAGAGGGACAGATATGGAATCATTTCACTCATTTGTGGGATATGAAAAAATATAGTACGAGACTAACATCCAAGGCCAAGGAAAACGGGGCCCAGGAGGGCTGGTCAGTGGTTGGAAGCTTACTGGAAGTGTGTGTGTCGGGGTGGGGGTCTGAGGAGAGAAGTTAGGACAGAGAAGGGACCAGAATGACAATAGTAGTTGGAAATGATCACTCTGGATAAGAATTGAATGTTGAAAGTAGGTAAAGGAATACACATGATGGCCTTTCAATGATAGTCTTTCAGGATCTGTATTGCAAACCATAATGCCCAAAGGGGGGGAGGGGAGGAAGGGGGAGAGAGGGGGAAGGGCAGGAAGAGGAGAGAGAGAGAGAGAGAGAGAGAAGAAAAGTGAGGCATAGAGGCAGGGAGGGGGAAACTGGGGACACTGGTGGTGAGAAATTTACATACATTGGTGAAAGGATGAGTATGGAAACATTATATGACTGAAACCTAACCATGAATAGCTTTGTTAAAAAAAAAAAGAAAGAAGAGAAAACTGGCATGTAGTTGAGATGAAAACTGCCTCCAAAGGGAACAAAAATGTCTGATGATCAAAGTTGAAAGTCACTTTTGCCACAATACTGCAAAGAAAAAAATGAAAGATTTTAATATGATTTTATTTTAAAATTGTGGGACTCCAGGTTGTCACGTGGTCTCTACCTACAACCAGAGTCCCATGTCCCCTAAATCCAAAGATGTTGTGATGCTACTAAAAAGTAAAAATGTTTATTTCCTTAGTGACTCTAAACCCTGGGACATAAAACAGAGTCATAAAAGTATTTAACAGACTGATGCTCCAACTTTTGATTCTCTGAAGAACTGCACTAGTGTAGTTAACTGCACTAGGCTAGTGTAGTAGAACTACATTTTCCAGTTTGTATAGTTCATTATTATGTACAACAGGGGTTGGGAACAGAGGGTAGGGCGTCTGCCTCACACGCAGCCAACATGGCCGACCCGAGTTCGATTCCTCCGCCCCTCTCGGAGAGCCCGGCAAGCTACCGAGAGTATTCGATATGCCAGACACAGTAACAACAAAGTCTCCAATGGAGACGTTACTGGGCCCGCTCGAGCAAATCGATGATCAACGGGAGGGCCTTTACTTTTTTTTTTTTTTATTAGTGAAGCACCATGAGGTACAGTTGTAGATTTACAAATCTTTGTGCCTGAGTTTCGGTCATACAATGATCAAATACCCATCCCTCCACCAGTGCCCATTTCCCCCCACCCCCCCCCTCCCACCCTGCCTCTGTGGCAGGGCATTCCCCTTTGTTCTCTCTCTCCTTTTGGGTGTTGTGGTCTGCCAAAGAGGCATTGAGTGGCAATCATGTTCAGTCCATAGTCTACTTTCGACATGCATCTCCCCTCCTGGGAGGATCCTCCAAACACCCTTTATTTGGTGCTCCCTTCTCTATCTGAACTGCCCTTTCCCCTAGAATATCCGGCTGGCCTCTAAGTTATGGAGTAATCCTCCTGGTGTTGATCTCAGCTATTCTTAGGTATTGATCTCATATTTTGTTGCTTTATATCGGGAGGGCCTTTACTTTACTTTTACTTAAACTACAGTGACTTCAACTTGTAATGTTTATTCTAGAGAAGTCATGTCGATATCACATTACATCTTTCTTTCTGGATAACCTGTGACAATGATTGCTCTGTTAGAGACTGATGCCTCCTCAATATAACAAAGAGGAATGGGAAAAATGCAAAGGAAAAATAGTCAACAGAGCGGAAAGAAAAACTTCTGGCATACCGCTTCCCTTAAACAGCATATCTCTATGTCCTGATCAGAGTTGGAGGGCCTTCAGTATACTAAGTAGACACATAAATTCCTTCTTTGTTAGGTAAATTGGCATTAACTCCTGGGTAGAATTTTAAACCAGGAATGTAAAAACCACCAGTTAGAATATACAAAAAAGGTTTTTTTTTCCCTTTTCCTTTTTGGTGGGGGCGGGGGATGAGAGAAGCTTTGGGATGAGAGAAGACAGACAGGACTTGGGAAATTTGGAGATAAGATAGGATAGGATTTGGGCAGTTGGAATATTTTCAGAGTGAAGAATTATAAGCATTGCTATTATTTCATTTTTTAAATGTCCTAATATAAGATCAGAAAGTCCTAGAGAAAAACTTGACTACCTAGGGGAAAAAAATCATATTAAGAAAATGGACATCTCCACTATTCACCCTTATCTCCACTGTTCCTTTCTGACTTCCAGATATCAGGAACTGGAAGAAAGAAGAGATAAAGGAAGAGGAAGAGAAAGGGAGAGAGGAAGGAAGAGAGAGAGAGAGGAAAAGAGGGACGGGTAGAGAGGAAAAGAGTGAGTGGTATAGAGAGGGAGGGAGGGAAAGAGAAAGGGGAAGAGAAGGGGCGGGAGAAAAGAAAAAGAAAAGTGACAGAGAGGGAGAGAGAGAGAAGGAAAGAGGGGGAGAGAGGTAAAGGGAGAAAGGGAGGGAAAAAAGGAAAGTGAGGTGGAGGAAGGAAGCAGAAAGAGCGAATACTTGGGACTCTGACTTTACCTCTGTGGAGGGATGGGTACTTGACCATTGTGTAACTGAAACCCAAGCACAAAAATTTGTAAGTCTACAACTGGACCTCATGGTGTTTCACTAATAAAAATTTTAAAAAAGAAAAAAAAACAAAAGAAAAAAATTCACACAGTCTCAACCTGTAACAATATGTTAGTAATCTCATATACAAGGCCTTAATGGCTCCAGGGTGAGCTACAACAATCTTCACACACTCACACACTTTCCTCTAATGAAACTTTTCTAGATCATTTTTAGCAGATTATTCATAACACTGCACTGCACTGTATTGCATTGTCCTCCCATTGTTCATCAATTTGCTGGAGCAGGTACCAGTAACGTCTCTATTCTGAGACTTTTTGTTACCATTTTTGGCATATCGAATATGCAATAGGGAGCTTTCCAGGCTCTGCCATGTGGGCAAGATATTCTCCGTAGCTTGCTGGGCTCTCCAAGAGGGACTGAGGAATCGAACCCTGGTCGGCTGCATGCAAGGCAAATGCCGTACCTGCTGTGCTATTGCTCCAGCCCAGTCAACAATATACATATGTATAAATATAATAAAACTTTTTGGTGCCATTTTTGTTCAATCTAAAGGGGATTTTATACATAAAATGAGAGGAAATTATTCACTGGAATGTTAAATAAATCCAATTGTTACTGAAGGAAAAAAATCACTCCAAATTACTTCTATATATAATTATTTGAACCCATTACAATATATTTATTGATTTGAAATTTAACAACAAAAAAAAAAGATACTGCTTTTAGATACATGCGGCGCATGCTTTGCTTTTATTGACTGCTGTCTTGAACTTGCCTTGAAAGGAAGCTTCCCCTCTGGTCTGCTATTTCTGCAACATGCAATCTGTAACCAGGGCTGTTTATTTTATCTCTTACCCCCAAGTCCAAAACATGCTCACCCACCTGTGTCAAAACACTGAGCTGTTCCATAATATGCTCTAGGGCTTCAGTCATGGCGAGAGGTATGCTTCTCTGGCTCTCAGTGGGGAGGTCACTCACATCTTCTGTTTTCTTTTTCGTAGCTGTTGGTGCACATTCCGATGTCATTAAGGAAGGGTTCAAGAAATAGCCGCAGACTTCTTCGCCCTTTTCTGGTACAGTTCTAACTATGTTTTCTGTTGACTTTGATAGCATAGAAAAGATAAAAAGTGATGATTTTCAAACTTAAAGAGAATTGTGGCTCCTATAAGTATATAGTAGTATATGAAACCATAGTCTAATAGAAGTATCTACAGAAGTATAAAATGATAAAGTCATGTATTATTATATATGTATATTTCAATATTCCTCTTCTAAAAGCCTATCCTTCATTTAAGTATTATTATTTGGACATGGGGTTGGGGGGAGAGGTGTCTTTTCATGTGGCACCAAGAGGCCTAGTGATCCACCAGTGATTCTCAGCCAAACAAGAGCCCAAGAGCCTGGAACCATCTTATCCCTTCAATCAAAGAGATGGGGATTACCCAGGTCACCTGGGTAGTGCAATACTCAGGGCGAGATTGAGGGGACATTCGGTCACAGGGATCAAACCTGGTAATTGGTATACTACTCTTTTGGACCCCTGATTGCTGTTTAATGGTAGCAAATTATGAAAAAGATAATTCTAGGACAAAAACCACAACAAAAAACACAGAGAATTCACATGTTTTCTTGATGCTTTTTTTCATAAAATACACTTTCATTTCATGTTCAAGTTTTCTACCATTGAAAAGATAGAGGTAAAGTACATACATACCTTCCATGGGCAGGGACCTGTGTTTGATTCCCAGGGTTACCTGATGCCCATCACATTCTCCATTTTTTAATTAAAACATGCTTTAGGTCAGACTAAGTTTTATTTTTTAAATAATCATCAGACTTCCCACAAACTGGAAGTATAGATACTAGCAAGCAGAGCTCCTGGCTAAAGTACAACCGGAAATTAACAACACATCATGGGAAAGCTGCACCCACGCAAAACCTAGCTGACTGAGACACAAATGCATTCATGCATTTGATGGGGCAGTATCGGATAGGGGGGAACAGTCAGAGAGGAGAGCCCATAGCTCTCAGTACACAACAAAGCAGCAGCATTTTGGTGGGCAGGTGTGATCTGGCAGGGAGAGGGAAGGAACTGTGAAGACACACTCTACTTTCCATTCAGGGGTAGAAGATTCTACTGATGGCAACTCAGGCTCTGGAATATTAAAAGGATCCTGAGACTGGGAGGTGAACATGGAGACAGTTGACCATGCTGAGTTCCTTCCCTCCTCCATAAAACCCTCTGGGACATAGAAGTGCAAACTGAGATGAGCAGAAATAGCGGGTCAAAATAGCCACAGACGCTAAGGAGCAGTTTTGACTTTTATCCCAATCAATCACCTTGGTCCTCCAACCCCTCATCATCATAGAAAACAAAGGAGAGATCCGACACTAAAACCACAGCACCACCTACAGGACAACAAGAGAAGCAAAACAGCACATAAGCAGAAAAAGTGTTGCAGACAACCATTGCAAACAAAGATGGAAGAAACTATGTGGAAGAATCCAGGACTGAGATACATGGTCATAGGCCACAGAAAATGAGAACTAGTCTACAGAACAACTCACCAAGATGTGGGAGGAGGTAGTGGGAGGTCTGGTGTTGGAACACTGTACGCATTGAAACCCTATCCTCAATGGTACATCATGATGTATCATGGTATACCATGGTGAACAAATAGAATTTTATGTTTTTAAATAAGGACTGAGGGGTAACACCTAGTGATACTCAGCTTGGGCCCTGCATTGCCAGGGACCAGCAGGACCATACCTGGGGTGCGTAGGAGGTTATGTGGTCCCATGGATCAAAGTCCTGTGCTACTTCCCTAGCCCTGTATGGCACATTTCTTTATTAATTCATCCATTCACGATGCTTAAGGCTGTTTTCATATCTTGGCTATTGCAGCAAATAATGCCTCGACTGAACATACATACATGTATACACACATAACATGACTGCAGTATTTTATAGATATTCCCAGTTAGTGGCTTATTTTTTTTTTTCATATCCATAATGGTTTATTTTTTCTGTGTGTGTGTTTTTTCTTAATATCCAGAATTGGAATTGCTGGTTCAAAATGCAGTTCTATTGTCATTTTTTTTTAGTAACTTCCTTATTGTTCCCCATAATGGCTGCTCCAATTTACAACCTCACCAATAGAGCATATGCGTTGCCTTTGCTGTACATTCTCTGACAATTGCCGCTTCTTGTCTTAGTGTTAATAGCTATTTCACAAGTGTGAGGTGATGTGCTATATATTTGATTGCATTTCCCTGAAGATTAGTGATAGTGAACATTTTTTTTCATGTGCCTGTGAGCTTATATGTCATTTTTATAAAAAGATATCTATTCAGTTCATTTGCCCATTTTCTTAAATAAAAAAATCTTAATTGTGCTGTATACTTTAAATTTTAATACTATCAAATATATGATTAGAAATATTTTCTTTCATTCAGTAGACCATCTTTACTGATAATCTCCTTCCTTTGTTTTGTAGCAGATTTCTAGTTTATGGTAGATCTATATTTCTTTTTTCTTTGTGTTGTTAAAGCCAATGAATTACTGGCTGAAATTAATTTATGACATGTGTTTTCTTCCAGTTATGCCATTTCCAGAACTACAGATCTTATGGTCAAATTGGATATGATTTTTGTGTGTGGTATAAGATAGTGGTCTGGTTTTATTTTTTTTCATGAGGCTGTCCGGTTTTTCACAAAACCATTAACTGAGGGGCAGTCTTTTCTATATAATTTACAATGTGGTGTGTGTGTGTGTGTGTGTGTGTGTGTGTGTGTGTGTGTGTGTGCTCATTGTCCTACTTGTTGTACTGATTCCCTTTTCTTAATTTAATTGATCAGGTATTCTGGGTTTATATCTAGGCTCTCTATTTTGCTTCACAGATCTTTGTTCATATTTTTATATGAATACTATGCATTTTTACTACTAAAACTTTGTAAATAGAGTTTGCAGTCAATGAGTGTCACATGTCTAGCTGTGTTGATCTTTTTCAAGATCACTTTGGCTATTTAGGGTCTTTTGTAGCTCCATATAAATTTAGGGACTTTTTTTCCTATTTTTATGAAAAATCCCATTGGAATTTTGATAGGAGTCACACTTAATAAGTAGATCATTTTGTGTCAAGGCATTTTAACAATATTCTTCTAACTCATGGACATAGATTATATTTCAAATTTATGTCTTGCTCAATGTCTTTCAATAATATCTTAAAATTTTAATATATGGCCTTTCATTTCCTTGGTTAAATCTATTTCTAGGTATTTTATTATTTTTTTGATTCAACTGTAAATGTGACTGCTTTTAAAATTTCTCTTATGGATCTTTTGTTACTAAAATAGGCAACATTTTCATATATTAATTATTGTATGCAGCAATTTTACAGAATATAGTAATTCTAAAAACTGGTAGCATCTTTATTTTTTCTCTATATAATATATCATGTTATCAGCATATAGCGACAGTTTTACTACTTCTTTTACAATTTAGATGCTTTCTCCTCACCCCCGCCCACCCCATTTGTCTGAGCTATGTTGAAAAAAAAAAAAAAAGAAATGTGAGTAGATATTCTTGTCTTCTTTCTACTCACCACTGACCAAGATCTTAGCTTTGGGATTTTAATACATGACCTTTATTATAAGAAGAAAAGTTTCTTCTATAATCATTTCCTTGAGAATATTTGTCAAGGCTGATGTTGAATTTCATCATTTCCCTATTTCTATATAATATGTAATGGGTCATAGGACTTTTGTCATTCAGCTTGTTAGAATAGCATGTCATACAGTTTATTTATTAAATATTGATGTTGAATCCTCTTTCTATCTTAGAGTATAGCTCACATCATCATGGTGTGTGAAATTTTCATGATTTTACTAAATAGAATATTATGTAGACAAAAAAATATAAGTCAGACATGAGAAAATACTATTCGATTCAACTAATACAAAGAAAGTCAAATGGACAACTTCTATAAAGACAGGAGAAGTAGAAGTTATTATGGGCTTAAGGGGAGCGAAATGTGGAGTTCCTGCTGTATGAGTCCAAATTTTTTGAGTTTTATTTTTGATTTGGGTCCACACCCAGAGGTGGTTAGGGCTTACTCCTGGCCCTGTGCTCAGGGGTCATTCCTGGCAGTGCTCAGGTGACCATAGGGGGTGCTGTGGATTGAACCTGGCTCAGCCCTACTTCCTGAAATATCTCTTCAGCCACAAAATTTTGTGTTTGCACTGGTGAAAAAAATGTTTTCAAAATAGACAGTGTTAAGAGTTATATAACATTGTGAAAACATGGTATCAATGAGTGGCACTTAAAATGCTTACAGTGATGGTTTTATGTTTATATTACCACCACCCCAACAAAAAAATCCTCCAAACATAACCTGAAATTAAAATTAATAATAAAAAACATATTTAACAAAATAAGTATGATCCTGGTACACTGAATACTACAGATTATCATTTAATTTTTTTTAAATGTTTAAATAAATGGAAAAACATTCCTTACCCCACATTCATAGACCCGAAGCCAATATTGATAAGATGAAATATTAAATAATGCATATGGATTTGAACTCTATCTGCCTTTTATTTATTTAGCAGAAATACATAAGCAGATCTTAAAATGCACATGAAAAGACAGGGAATCCCCAGTAGCCAAAATAATATTAAAGAACAAAGTCAGAGAACTCACTTCCAATTTTCAAAAATTGTTATAAAACTACAATAGTAAAGACAGTATGACACTGGCTTAAGGATAACTATATTAAACAATAGAACAAAATTAGCAACCTAGGGGAAAAAATCCTTCCATTTATGATCAACTGACTTTTGACAAAGCTGTCAAGACAATTTGAAACAATAGGTTTTTTTTTTTTATAAACAACACTGTGAAAATTGGAAATTAATTTGAAATGAATGCATTTTAGTTTTTACTACATAACATTAAACAACTAAAAATGTATTTTGGACTTAAATATAAAAGCTAAAACCACAAAACGCTTTTTTTTTTTTTTGGCGTGGGCGGGGTGGTAGGGCAGGGAGTAGTTTCATTGTGGTGCTCAAGAATCATTCCTGTTGGGCTCCAGTCC